TCTTTATCATAGAAGGTTCAGGCCAGGGGTTGAAAATATATTTATATTGTTGGTTAAGATAATGTCGTGTTGATAAAATATTTGTCGAATAGTGTACTTGGCAGTTCCTATATAAGTTGGTTAAATAGGACATTGTGCCATTTCTATGTAAGAGTGCAAAGCCTAGTATAGGGAATAGGTCTGGGTGTGAATCTTGGGTTGGTTAACCTAACCCTCTCCAAACTTTGGTTTCTCCATTTTATAAGATGAAGACAATGATACTTATTGAGTTGTGTGAAGAGTACAGATTTTACATGGAGAATGTTTGCTCATTAAATGTCTCAAGTGGGCCTTCCTGGTGCCTGTATTCTGTTCTTCCAGCCCTATCTTAGTATGTAGTGCTTTCAGGTAACAAGGCCAGGCCCACTGTCATTTAGGCTTAAATGTGCCTCCCTCTGGGCTGTTGAGGGAGGAAGACAAGTTATGTGTTCACTTACCTTACATAGTGTCATAGTAAAATTTCCTTCTGTATTATCCTATCCATTTTCTCTCTGCTAAATGAGCCACCAGAGCTTTCTGATTTATGAGGAAGGACTAGCTTTAGGTAGAAAGCACTTTGAACAGAAACAGTGCTACATTGCAGTGTACTTCCTTGTTAAGGTGTTAGGGGAGGATACTTGAGGGAAGGCTGAAGGATGAGTGCTAAAACTACTTGATAGAGTAGTTAGTATGGGACTGTTGGCGGAATCATCCTTTAGGATTGGAGTCCTAAATGAAGGGCTTTCATTTTTGGGTTCAGTAACACCTCCTTTATGTTTCCTCTTAGTGTGAACAAAACCTCCAGCATTTGCTTCTTGATGGACATATGTAATCATCATATATATTTTAATGGAGTTATCTAATACTTGGTGAAGGTAGAGGATTTAAGAAGATGGGGACATTGCTATGTTTTTCTCTTGAGATTTAAAAGCTTCTCTTAAATGCTGTTCTCTCTGCCTGTAGGCTCCTTGAGGGCCTGGGACAGACTTCAGTGGAGGCAGAAAAGCTGCCACAGTGCCTGCATGTTAAAACCACGTGGCATGATTTATCCTGGAACGTGTATTTGCAAGTGCAAGGTGGCAATTTTGACTTGGTTAGAAATACTAAGAAGAGTTGAAAAATATACCATTTTCTTTAGTTTGGAACTCTGCCAAAAAGTTTTCTTCCTAAAAAAGAAACATTCATTTTCTCAAAATTTAAAAACTAAAAATGAATCAAAAGCCATGAAGACTGCTTGATGAGGGGGGTGATTCTGGTTACTGTGAGCCTGTCAGACTTTCACGAAATAGTACTGATGGAGTCAAAACTTTTAAGTCTAGATATAGTACTGATGGAGTCAAAACTTTTAAGTCTAGATCTTATTATGTCTCCCTTTGAAAGCATAGAATGGAAATAACTTAAGCTGTGTCTTTAAAAACAAAACAGTTGATAGTAGCAATTTGACAAGTTGGTAGAAACAGTGGGAGTTCATCTCTTGCTTTTCATGTAATCATTGCTGCCATTGTACCTCTGGGCATATTATATGACTTTTTTAATAATGAAATTGATTCACAGTTCCTCATCTCACCTGTGGACTAGGTTAAGGACTTGCTTTGTTGCCCTCCTAGAGATTTTCAGAATTCATTGAAAAAGTACATATGAACCGTATTTGGAGACTTTTCATTAAGTGTTTCATAAATGCATTAATGTTTACATGGTATCACTTAAATAAAGCAAGCCAAGAACCTTTAATTCCTGCTGTCTGGCATTTTATAACTCTGGATGGGTCATCTGCTACTGGGTAATAGGACAAGAAAGTTGAGTTCATAATGGATGTGTTAGGTATGCATATTTACTACTGAAAAAGTCATTTTATGTTGTATTTTAGAATGTGTACGTACAAGAGAGAGAAAGACCCTGTTACTACTTAGTGCGCAATCAGTCACTCCATGTGCTAGTTAGATGTTTCAGTGACACAGTGCTGGATCCCAAGTCAGGTGATGGAGTGTGATCATTGTTCATCTGTAGAGAGCAATACTGTGAAGGTTAAAATGGGGTGATGTAATATATGTACAGCCTGAAACTTCAGTGTATCCTTAAATTGCCAGCACAGTGAAGTCTGTTATGTTTATTTTTTCTTCAGGCAGGCAGTACAGAGGAGGGCCATGCATTATAGATAATGGGATGCCAGGAGAGGCATGGGTATAGTCTTCCGCAATGGGTGGGTCAACCAGATTTGGCACATGGGTCACCCAGATTGGGCACATTTGTTTGTAGCTCATCCTTGGGTTGGAGGCAGTCAGTAAACTCTCTTTTGGGTAGTGTTGAGTAAATCACAGATACATTTTTATCCTTTAAAAATGTTTTGGTTGTAGACTTCTAGGCTCATAATTATGATAGTAATATTCAGTAATTCATTCTGAGCTTTAATTTTTTTGGGGGGTGGGGTCAGGCTGTTTTGCTGGCCATTTTGTTTACTTTACACAAAGGTGGTCTAGTTCACTTGATAAATGATGACTTGTGGTTTTAAATTTATAGGTTTGCTTTTTTCTCCCTAGTAATTAGAATAGCATGCTATGTTAGTGCACCATAGCTGCCTCTGTAATTGGCCATGCCTTCCAAAAATTACAAATGGTCCTAAATTAACAAGGTGCAAGGTAGTTGGAATCTTGGGGTTGTGGGGTTGGGAAGGAATTGGCCTTTTATGAGAGGGACAAGGACACTCAGCTGAGATTTCACTGTGTGCCAGGTCAGAATGGCCAGGCTTTCCATACTCTTCTCTACGTCATCTATAGCCTGGGCACCAGGCATCTGAACACACTGAGTTTTGTAGCAGTATTAGGAAGTTCATCAAAGTTAAGCAGCTTCCCTAAGGAAATATAGTGATGGCTTGAGGAGGAAGGAGAGGCGCCTGAATCCCATATTCTTTTTTCACTAGTACTTTTATTGTTTCTTAGGAAGGAGCAGGATTATTAGATTTCTTGATTTGAATTTAAATTTAAAAGTGGGACCTAATTTGGAGACCTAGTGTGTATTAACAAAGATTAATACCTTTGCATGATCTTACTTTTGTCATCAAAATAATTGATTCATTACTAGGTCCTATCTTATAATTCCTTAGTAAGGGAAATTCATGTTCTATATTAAGCAAATGCTGAGTGAATTCACAAATCTGAGCTTTTATGCCACTGTCAAACTGCTAAGATATGAGAATACACCACACTTGCATTCTTGAGTTCAGGCATAGAGGAAAGCCCAGATGATTTTCTAGTTGCTCCTTATGGTGATGTCTATGCTAATTTATTTGGAGAAAGAGAGAGAGAAAGAACGATGACCACTAAACAAACATCTGGAGAGGATTTTCATAGACCCTTGGATTTTTTTTGACTGTAGGGATCTTAAGCGTTACCTTGTCAGAACAACCCCACATTTTACCTAACACATTCCCAGCGTTGTGTAACTACCTCTCAAAAAGAATGGGGCTGGGGCTGTGTGCTCAAGCGGTAGCATGCTCGCCTGGTATGCGTGTGGCCCGGGTTCGATCCTCAGCACCACATACAAA